GTCCCGTCTCCGAGACCGTTCCGAGACCGTTCCGAGACCGTTCCGGGACCGTTCCGAGACCGCGTACAGGCGTCGCGACCGAGGTGGTTTGCGCACTGTCCGGAAGCCCAATTCACGCATGGCACCAACGTTTCTGCAACTTGCTATCCCCAGCTCGCAGAAAGTGGACGCAGCACCTTGCGAAAGTGCTGCGCCTGCCACGAAATCGTACTCGACCTCGCGAAAGTGCTGCGCCTGCCACGAAATCTATACTTGACCTTGCGAAAGTGCTGCCTGCCACGCAATTCAAACCTAGCGAAACCTTCGCGCGGCCGTGCCGGCACAGCTGCGCTGCTCCCGTTTGCCGAGACCGTTTCAGTCAGGAAGCCTTGACCGTTTCCGAGACGCCTCCGTACAGGCTCGCGACCGAGGTGGTTTGCGCACTGCCGGAAGCCCAAATTCAACGCATGGCACCAACGTTTCTAGCAACTTGCTACCCCATCTTCGCAAAAGAGGACGCAGCAAAACCTTGCGAAAGTGCTGCGCCTGCCCACTAAATCTGTAACTCACCTCGCGAAAGGCTGCGCCTCCGCCAACGAAAAATCAAACTTGACCTTGCGAAGTGCTGCACCTGCCACGCAATTCAAACCTAGCGAAACCTTCGCGCGGCCGTGCCCATGGTCCCGTCTCCGAGACCGTTCCGAGACCGTTCCGAGACCGTTCCGGGACCGTTCCGAGACCGCCTCCGTACAGGCGTCGCGACCGAGGTGGTTTGCGCACTGTCCGGAAGCCAAATTCACGCATGGCACCAACGTTTCTGCAACTTGCTATCCCCCAGCTCTCCTGATTTCAGCTTTTCTCGTAGCTTTTTTCGCGCACATCCATGTATCTTAAAGCGATCTATCTGTCAAGCTGGTTATATGTCAAAGCTATCTATCTGTCATGCTAGTCTTTGGAAAGCTATCTATGTGTTAAGCTGGCTATATGTCAAAGCTATCTATTTGTCATGCAAGCCTATTGGACAGCTATCTATCTGTCAAGCTAGCTATATGTCAAAGCTATCTATTTGTCATGCTAGCTACCTGTCATAGCTATATGTCAAAGCAGCTAGCTCATTTAGTTCCAGTACTACGGAAGTTTCTTGTTAAACTTCCTTTGACTACTATTACTACTATTGCTACTACTACTATTATTACTACTACTACTACTACTATTACTAACTACTACTACTATTACTACTACTATTACTACTACTACTATTACTACTATTACTATTATTACTTATCCCGACAAGGCTATTACTACTATTACTATTACTACTACTATTACTTATCCCGACAAGGCTATTACTACTATTACTATTACTACTATTACTATTACTATTACTACTACTATTACTACTACTACTATTACTACTACTATTACTACTATTACTTCTATTACTACTACTACTATTACTACTACTCATTACTACTATTACTACTACTTCGTATTCCTTCTTGTTCCTTTCTATTGACCTTCTTATTCCTTCTTATTCCTTTCTATTGACCTTCTTATTCCTTCTTATTCCTTCTTATTGACCTTCTTAGACCTTCTTATTCCTTCTTATTCCTTTCTATTGACCTTCTTATTCCTTCTTGTTCTTTTCTGTTGACCTTCTTATTCCTTCTTATTCCTTTCTATTGACCTTCTTATTCCTTCTTATTCCGTTCTATTGACCTTCTTATTCCTTCTTATTCGTTTCTATTGGCCTTCTTATTCTTTCTTTTTCCTTTCTATTCACATTCTTATTCCTTCTTATTCCTTTCTATTGACGTTCTTATTCCTTCTTATTCCTTTCTATTGACCTTCTTATTCCTTCTTATTCCTTTCTATTGACCTTCTTATTCCTTCTTATTCCTTTCTATTGACCTTCTTGTTCCTTCTTATTCCGTTCTATTGACCTTCTTATTCCTTCTTATTCCTTCTTATTCCTTTCTATTGACCTTCTTATTCCTTCTTATTCCTTTCTAATCACCTTCTTATTCCTTCTTATTCCTTTCTATTGACCTTCTTATTCCTTCTTATTCCTTTCTATTCACCTTCTTATTCCTTCTTATTCCTTTCTACTGACCTTCTTATTCCTTCTTGTTCCTTTCTATTGACCTTCTTATTCCTTCTTATTCCTTTCTATTGACCTTCTTATTCCTTCTTATTCCTTCTTATTGACCTTCTTAGACCTTCTTATTCCTTCTTATTCCTTTCTATTGACCTTCTTATTCCTTCTTATTCCTTTCTATTGGCCTTCTTATTCCTTCTTATTCCTTTCTATTGACCTTCTTATTCCTTCTTATTCCGTTCTATTGACCTTCTTATTCCTTCTTATTCTTTTTTTATTCACATTCTTATTCATTTCTATTGACATTCTTATTCCTTCTTATTCCTTTCTATTGACCTTCTTATTCCTTCTTATTCCTTTCTATTGACCTTCTTCTTCCTTCTTATTCCTTTCTATTGACCTTCTTATTCCTTCTTATTCCTTTCTATTGACCTTCTTATTCCTTCTTATTCCGTTCTATTGACCTCCCCTTATACCTTCTTATCCTTTCTATTGACCTTCTTTATTCCTTCTTATTCCTTTCTATTCACATTCTTATTCCTTCTTATTCCTTTCTATTGACGTTCTTATTCCTTCTTATTCCTTTCTATTGACCTTCTTATTCCTTCTTATTCCTTTCTATTGACCTTCTTATTCCTTCTTATTCCTTCTTTCCTTCTTATTCTTTTTTTATTCACATTCTTATTCATTTCTATTCACATTCTTATTCCTTCTTATTCCTTTCTATTGACCTTCTTATTCCTTCTTATTCCTTCTTATTGACCTTCTTATTCCTTCTTATTCTTTTCTATTCACATTCTTATTCATTTCTATTGACATTCTTATTCCTTCTTGTTCCTTTCTATTGACCTTCTTATTCCTTCTTATTCCTTTCTATTGACCTTCTTATTCCTTCTCATTCCTTCTTATTGACCTTCTTATTCCTTCTTATTCTTTTTTTATTCACATTATTATTCCTTTCTATTGACCTTCTTATTCATTCTTATTCCTTTCTATTGACCTTCTTATTCCTTCTTATTCCTTTCTATTCACCTTCTTATTCCTTCTTATTCCTTTCTACTGACCTTCTTATTCCTTTCTATTGACCTTCTTATTCCTTCTTATTCCTTTCTATTGACCTTCTTATTCCTTCTTATTCCGTTCTATTGACCTTCTTATTCCTTCTTGTTCCTTTCTATTGACCTTCTTATTCCTTCTTATTCCTTTCTCCTACTGAACCTCATGTTCCCTTTCTATTAGACCTTCTCTTCTTAATGATATCCTTCTTATTCCTTTCTATTCACCTTCTTATTCCTTCTTATTCCTTTCTACTGACCTTCTTATTCCTTTCTATTGACCTTCTTATTCCTTCTTATTCCTTTCTATTGACCTTCTTATTCCTTCTTATTCCGTTCTATTGACCTTCTTATTCCTTCTTGTTCCTTTCTATTGACCTTCTTATTCCTTCTTATTCCTTTCTATTGACCTTCTTATTCCTTCTTATTCCGTTCTATTGACCTTCTTATTCCTTCATATTGCGTTCTATTGACCTTCTTATTCCTTCTTATTCCTTTCTATTGACCTTCTTATTCCTTCTTATTCCTTTCTATTCGCATTCTTATTCCTTCTTATTCCTTTCTATTGACGTTCTTATTCCTTCTTGTTCCTTTCTATTGACCTTCTTATTCCTTCTTATTCCTTTCTACTGACCTTCTTATTCCTTCTTATTCCTTTCTATTGACCTTCTTATTCCTTCTTATTCATTCTTATTGACCTTCTTAGACCTTCTTATTCCTTCTTATTCCTTTCTATTGACCTTCTTATTCCTTCTTGTTCCTTTCTATTGACCTTCTTGTTCCTTCTTATTCCTTTCTATTGACCTTCTTATTCCTTCTTATTCCGTTCTATTGACCTTCTTATTCCTTCTTATTCGTTTCTATTGACCTTCTTATTCTTTCTTATTCCTTTCTATTCACATTCTTATTCCTTCTTATTCCTTTCTATTGACGTTCTTATTCCTTCTTATTCCTTTCTATTGACCTTCTTATTCCTTCTTATTCCTTTCTATTGACCTTCTTATTCCTTCTTATTCCTTTCTATTGACCTTCTTATTCCTTCTTAGTCCTTTCTACTGACCTTCTTATTCCTTCTTATTCCTTTTTATTGACCTTCTTATTCCTTCTTATTCCTTTCTATTGGCCTTCTTATTCCTTCTTATTCCTTTCTACTGACCTTCTTATTCCTTCTTATTCCTTTCTAATCACCTTCTTATTCCTTCTTATTCCTTCTTATTGACCTTCTTATTCCTTCTTATTCTTTTTCATTCACCTTCTTGTTCATTCTTATTCCTTTTATTGACATTCTTATTCCTTCTTTTTCCTTTCTAATCACCTTCTTATTCCTTCTTATTCCTTTCTAATCGCCTTCTTATTCCTTCTTATTCCTTTCTATTGACCTTCGTATTCCTTTCCTTCTTATTCCTTTCTATTGACCTTCTTATTCCTTCTTATTCCTTTCTAATC